TTCTGTCATACACCCAAACACCGAAGGAGTGTGTCTGGTTTGCTGTGGGAGACAACTTCGGAGCGTCTCAGTTTTTTTTTGGTTTGAGTTTCTTGTTATTTTTGGGACCCGACCCAAATATGCTGTTGAAAGAATAAGGCAAAGATTAACCTTGCTTAGGTTTCGTTTCGCCTTATACGACGTTTTAATTTTATCTTTCACAGATTCTAACATTTAAAAAAATGAATTTCTTGTTCACCCTTCTTCTTCCACCTTTGGCTGTTCTCCTTGATTTCCCTTCTGTGGTTTCTTGACTCCTTCGCTCCCTGGGATATGTTAGATTTTTAAGGAGATGAGAACCGAATTTATGAAAGAGAAAATATCTTTTTTGATTTGAATTTATTCAACACTCACAGGCGGTGCATGCCGCGAGAGAAGGGAATAAAATTAACGAAACTTTAATCGTATTTTTGTTTCGTTTCTCCATATTCTCAGTTCATTCGTTACAAACGATTTTAGTCTTTCTCTCACCATACACTAAAGCCGCAGGTTTTTTTTCATCAGTTTAAGAAACACAAACACGGCAGGGTGGGATGCTGCGAGAGAGACACATTCAGATATAAGATATCATTTGAATTTCCCATAAATATCAATATCCACCAGACACAGACCCGTCATTATGTTTCTTCCATAAGAGTTTTTGAACTTTATAATGAAAAGTCTAGCGATGGGAAAAAGAACAAGTAGAACACGAAGTAAATATTTTCATGGCTGGTTGTATACGGAATTTACGAGTTGATCTTTCACAATTTTCGAAAACCATCGCTCAGTTTTGCCGAGTCCAACGAGACAAAAACGAACACGACTCAGATCTAAGAAATCAATAGCCATCCCACTGTGGTTCAGATTTATTCAAAACCAGTCGGAATCTCTCTGGACGCGTAGTACCCGGTGATAAGAAGGCTTTGATCAAATGAATCACCTCAGCAACGGCCTAAACGACGACCGCGATGAACGCAGCGGCGCACAACGATCGCAGTAGGCGAATAAGAAAAAAAAGCGGCGGAAATTAAGCCGCGGAAATTTATGTTATAAAAAAGGCCCCGGAAAATTAAAATCTCGTAAATGTGTCCCATATCGATCGACGGAGAAGCGGAAAAAGAAGACCTATAGAGCTATAAAAATGACTACTTTACGATATTTCCCACCCGTACTCCATTCTCATCTCTTTTCTAAGCGATCTATCTACCGTCGTCGTGCAACGGAAAGGAAACAAGAAAAAATATGGCACAATTGAGAAGTATATCTTTGAGATTATATCAAATTTTAAGTACGTAAAGTAAGACATGAACTTCCTAACTCATACTGGTTTGGTAAAACCTCATGATTTGAAAAAAAAAACTGAAAATTTTCAACAGACTATTCAATACTCATTTTTAAGATATATGGACTCGGTAGAAAGAGAAATATTTCTTTGTTAATAATATAAAAACAATCACATAACATTTCGAGAAACCTAACAATATGTGATGGAGGTATTTCTGCAAACTTATTAGATTTTGTAATAATGTTCACTTGCACTGAATAGGTCCTAAACTGATCAACCAGTTGATGGACCGCCCATGTTGGCTATAAATTTCAGACCTTTTTTCTACTGTGGAACACACCCCTCTTAGTTTATGTTAGACTCAACGTGGTGTGAAACAATTATCTTTAGACTATCTTTAGACAGTCTGGCATTGCTGGGTTGTGCACTGCAGACACGCAACGCCTCTCTGGACGGGAGATATTCAATGAAGATTCAGTGATAATTTAAATTTTATTAATACGATAAAAGGGATAATTATTACATTAGAAATAAATTAAACTTAAGCAAGCAATAGATGAATTACCGTTGGAAGTGAAAGTCCAAAAAGAAGGTAAAACAGCTGGTCTTAATATAGCAACCGTCCCTTAATAATAGGCAAGACACACCTTTTTCTTTGTGTGCCTACTTCGCGTCCTACAAAGAAACGCAACCAGACATAAATATCTTCCTTTCTGGGCTTCGTACATTAAATGTTACAATTTAGTCAATTGGTGCACACCAGTTCTATCCCTCGTCATTTTTTTATTCTGTTTGCTTCGGATCGTCCATGCTAGTGGAAACCGGTCCCGCCAAACGAACAAAAAATGTGAATAACAAAAATTGCTAAAAACGAAGTTAAAACCAACCACCAAAAACAGGTTGCGGAAATCGTGCACTCCTTCCACCAAACAATTTTTCGGGAAGGTACACCGAACCGATAAAGCATTTTACGTATCATTTCTTTAATATATTCATACATAAAAACTGCTTAGTGTTCCTTTTTCTCTCTTCTACATGCCTACTTTCTTGCTTTTGGCTCTAGCTTTTGGAAGCCTTACGTCGAGCATAATATTCTTTACTCATTCGTAGCGCTATTGGCGAAACTCATGACAAATTATGCTAATCAGCAGCGTTGATGAATTAATATATGCAAAGGGCACGTATTATTTTTACCTTTTCAGAGCAGACGCCTCCTTCCATCTTGTTCACTATTCAATTCGATTGGCCTTAGTTCACTATCTACGGCGAAAGTTTAGTTTTGGGGCTCAATGGGGACTTATATCATTACCAAACCCAAATACTAATGAAATGTGAACAACCACAACTGTAACTGCAAATGTGAACAACCACAACTGTAATTTGCAGGTACAGTTGTGGTTGTTCACATTTCATTAGTATTTGGGTTTGGTAATGGTGAGCCCCAAAACTAAAATTTCGCCGTAGATAGTGAACCAATCGAATTGAATAGTGAACAAGATGGAAGGAGGCGTCAAAATCGCTATTACAATGGTGATATATAAATGCATAACTTAGATTATGTGTAGTCGACTCTGTCTAAAGAAATGTAAATGATTTAATCTATATTTTGAGTTTCACTCTCCAAACAAAACAAGGGAAATGCTAGGGAAAAGAACCCTTAACTATCAAATTAGTTAGGATGAAACAGATGAAAAATAGCAGCAATAATCTTTATTTACGACTGGAATTCACTCGCCGAAAAATACATAGGTACAAGCTTCAATCTGCAGACAGAAACACGACGCGACGAAGCGTTCATTCTGTTAAATAACGAATGTTAATTGGAACAACGAAGTGATTAGTACCGAAATTTGTAATAGTAAAATTAATTTACATTTTTATTTTCATGAAAATTGGTCTGTGAAAACTCCCTTCTCTTCTTTCTATTCTGAATTTTGGTTTTGAACCTCCCGCTATGTCTTTTTAGCTAAGCGTAGGGGACAAGAGAAACCGCACCTGTTCGTTGTTTGAAAAACGATGGCTTGGCAAAAGAAAGAAAAAAAAAATGTTTTATTGATAAAGCAGATGCACTAGGTCCTATATTGACCGGATGGCAGCAATATAAACTACACAGAATTCTAGTACCATTCTAGCCATCTTCAGCAGGTCGAAACAAGTGGCACAAGTTTTCGTATTTAATTCAATTAGAGAAATGAATACATTTGCTTACTGCATGTTGCGAGTTTTACGTAACACTGTAAACAAAGGCGGCTGGGAAGTTGTAAGGGTTGTAAAACTTTATGACACTCAGCGATCCATGCGCTCCACACTGTGCCATCCCAATGGGCCATGGGGAATCCTTCAGATCGGTAAGGCTAACGTTATTGTTGGAAATGACCATAAAAAAGTGTAATTTAAATTCTCTCTGTCAAGGGCAATTAATTCGATCATTGGTTGCACTGCATCAGCGATAGTCGGTATTGCGTGTAGTCAGGAGTCAGGAAAAGCCTCAATACGTTGTATTCGTTGGTCGGGATGTTGTAGAGAGTCAAAAAACATAAAGCGAATTGTAAAAATAAAGTTACTTACTTTTTCAAGTTCTAGGAGGTGAAACCGTAGCACTTGAATAGCTTGCACCATCTGAAAGAAGAAGAAATAAACAGCACATTAAATGATTGCCTTGTGAAATCTACAGACACTGTTAGCTTGTAGAACTGTTGGTGATAATAATTCAATAAGCGCTAACCTTGACCTAATTTCCCCTTGAGCTACTGTAGATAATGAGATCTTCTTCTATGTTATCTACGACCTAATTGGATGTGAAAGGAGTACTCCCACTGCTACTACAGGAATCTCCAGAATAGTGCGGTGGGTAATGCAGTCCACGCATCTCTATTTATCAGCTGTTCTACAACAAATTGATCTAATCTTCTTTAGGTGACTAGTATATCGTTGATACTAATCACATACAAAAAATCACCTCAATTGGGTAAAAGCGATAAATAGAGGTGGACTGCATCACCCACGGGGGGATTGCTGTAATGTGGTCAAAGGATTTTGTTGAAATAACATATGTTCTAGCTAAAAATGCTCAAGGGAGCCGAGAAAATTTCCTATCCTATGTTGTTTAAACAAGTTACATTTTTATTTTAACAAGTTGAAGATTCTACGATGATTTCAATCTGCCTACAAACCCAAGTAATCTCCATCTTATTTCCTTCATCTACAACTTCCATATCAGTCATCAGATAGTGCCTCTTGAAAACAAACACAAAATCTCCAAGACGACGCGCTTGTAGTGGAGTGAACAAAATACAAAAAGAAAGATACTAAAAACATGCAATACTTACTAGTGAATCTACTTCGGGGTCCGCCACATAGTAGGGTTTTTCTTGCCGTATCTGCAGGTGCGAAACAAAGAGAAAAAAGAGAAAAGTCATTAATCAATCATAATTATAAGGTGTAATCAAATCCTCTTTCACGACGGGCGTGCAGAGTCTCTAGTTTTTTTTTCTGGCACTACTGTTAAGAGAAAGATAAAAGGCCAACCCTGCAGCGACAATGCCATGATGGGTGAAGGCGACTGGAAGAAGATCGATGCAACGTAGAGGTTTGATTGAAAAGATTAATAAGCGCATGCGTTCGTCACATCGTTTTGATCCAGTATCAAACAGCATGGAGTTAATTCTGCTCATTTTGGATGTTCATAGCTGTTCTAGTTGTTGATGCTGCTGATACTGTCTGGTTGGCTGGCAGAGAAAATCGTTTTCTGATTGACGCAGCATGATCCGCAATAGCTTGCTTGCATTATCGCTTAATCAAAACATTGAATCATAATTTCAATGCAGCTTAAATCCATCCAAAACAAACAATTGGAATGTGTAAATCCCTAGCTTCCATATGCTTCGTGAATTTTGTATTTTAATGTATGAACAACAACAATATTTATGGAATATCAGATTAAAATTCAAATGTCAATAATAAAGGTATTATCGAAGACCGACGTGTTTTGTTTCCGTTGCTGCTTTTCTATCGCGAATTTAATGAAGATCACTGTGGAAGCCTTATTTTTGATAAATATCATGTTCATCTCGAAATTTCAAGAGCGCAAATATCAACTCTCACAAAACATACAACAAGGAAACTTAAACTTCACGTTTGCTGCATGGAGTTCCAATTTCATGAGCGATGTAGCGAGATTTATACTCTAGAAAACGTTAAGTGATAGGGCATATCAGCCACCTTTGGAATCTTCAAGCAATAAACTTAACGGAATTTTTTGGTGAAAATTCGGTGCGGAAAAAAAAACGTTAAATTCCTTTTGGAAATCTGTGAACTTTACATAATCGGGTGCAGTGAAACGGACTAAAATTGGATTTCAACCGATCCCATGGAACTCCGATAGGACATACTGGATGTTTGCCTGCTGCTAAAACTTTTAAATGTGCGATGGAATTGGTTGGAGCGGAGCCCAACGAGCCCAACGATGAAACATTGACGGGATTTCAAGCCCAAACGACGAAGAAGACCCGTAAGATGATAGAAGAAATATGCTACAAACAATAGCTTTGGTGAGATCATTTCATATTATTATCAATATTCATATTAAGACAACCAAGGACACCGCAAGGTTTTTTTTATTCAGGTAGCATGAACACAATTCACGTATCAATTTGATGCATGGTGGGATTAGAGGGAAAACAATGATTGATTTATCCTCGCTAAACAGAGAAAGTCGATTAAAGGGTTAGGCCACTACATGTAGCGGGTTAAAAAAATTGATTTTTTTCTTGGTCTTGATAGTTTAGATAGAGTCTAAAAATACGGGACAGTTGGTTTTATACCAGGTAACACAAATTTATCGAGGGAATTGATAATTCAAATAATGGTACCAAAATAAATATGATAGCCTATGTTGGCAAGTTGATTAATTTTGGTTTCCTCCCTAGATATTCTACTTGTTTAGTACTGAGCTTTGTATCAAATTAGTTAATTTAACGGACGTATCAATCATTTCAAGATTTCGCGACCGTACCGAACAAATTCTAAACTACATAAGCTCAAAAAACATTTGGCAAGCTCTACCGAATTGCGAATCACTTCTGCGTAAGCTCCGTAGACGTAGGCGAGTTAAATCCGACCGCCGCGAAAAGTTAAACATGCATCAATATCACTTAAGGAAAGATCGATTTTACAGTCTCGTAGGGCTTAGTTCATAGATTAACAAACTGGAGCAGGTTTTTTAATATAAAATTACACGTTTAACGATCAGTAATTCAATTAATTAAAGTTCATGTAAGTTTATGCTTTCCGTTGGAAACTCAATTAATGTCAATTGAAGTATTCATTGTTCAAAAACACAGATGCATGTCAAGTTCAATGCAAATTAATGGAGTTGTATTGTTGTATTGCTACATATATGTTTCAACTAACCCTAGAATCTGCCAAAAGTAAATTTACAAAAAAAATGCCTGTGTGATTTACATCAAAGATGAATTTTGAATAAGGAGCTCCCTTAGCTCAGTCGATTAAGGCACAGCTATAAAGCAAGACCATGCTGGAGGCGGCAGGTTTCGATTCCTGGTACGGACAACGAATTTTTCGATTTGGAAACTTTCTGAGCCTGGGCTCTAGGCCCAAGGAAAAGGCTTAGCAGCTCTCAAACTGTGGATGTGCTAACTTTAAGTTGAGTTGAGAGTGGGCGTAAAAGTCCCAGTAAGGGCGTATTGAAAGCCAAAAAGAAGATGAATTACGTCACGTGTAAAATAGTAATTTTTAAGTATGTGAGTACAGCGGCGCCAGTGGTGTAGTGGTAAGTATTAGTGATTGACTCTCACCCCAGCAGGCCTGGGTTCAACCCCAGGCGCTGTCGGTGGGATGTTCTGAGGCATAACATCTCTGATCACGCCCTTTCTTCAGAAGGGAAGTAAAGCCGTTTGTCCCCGGTTCATGAGTTGATGGGTCGATAGGTAGGGTCAAGGTGTGGGAGGTGCCTCCCTTGCGTCGGTAGCATTGGTGCTCAGCACGGAAAAAAGATCGACGGAAAACAAATCATGGAAAAAAAGTATGTGAGTTGGTTTCGAGGATTTTAGTGTAATCAATAAAATCTGCGCTTCTAGTGTGGACCGCACTCCTGCACCAACGCCTCTGAAATCAACTTTTGGAAAATGAAGTACTACAAAAAATCTGGAATGGATGATTATTGTTCTCCTCTTTCTTCTCTCAATATACCGAAGTAACAGTTTTGGTTTTATGAGAGTATTGTAGACCGTTATTCAGACTTGTAGAATGCTTTAAAAGTTTAATAAAACTTGCAATGTTGCTTGGGTACTATTCTTTTAAGCACTTCCTACTCGGAAATATCAACCTCTTTGTGTTGCGTTACGAATTCAGAAGATTTTCATAAGAAATGTACTGCATTTTTAATGTCTCACCACATGTACAGATTCTGTAAGGTGGTCGTAGGAAGGCTTTTTAAACATATATATTTTTTTAATTTAATGTTAGCTAGCTTTTCGAACATAGTGTATTTAAGCTTGTGAAGGTTTTATACGAAAATATTCATTCTGGACAAACTTGCCTGAACGCTACATTTCATTATAAGATCTGTAACTACATTTTTTTTTAATGAAATACAGCTGTGATTCACTCGCTAGTTAGGTGCTCGCTAGTTGGACCATGGTTCAACTAAAAAGCAACTGTATTTCAAAACTTCATGTCAAATTGAATCTTCTTCAAGGAATGAGCAAACGCATTTTTTTACGTTCTACAAGAAAACAGAAAAAAAAACTGACGCCCACCAATACATTTTCTTTCATTCACTGTAATTAAGTCCGCTTTCCGGGATTTTTTAACAACGACAACAAACGATGCGCATACCACTGAATAAATTGTAGTCATGTGATGTGCCAGTTGACCCAACTAGCGAATCGAATTAGTTGGTTGGGTCGAGGTGGTGGCCCAACCGGCTTCTACATGCCACGAAAATTGATGTTCAAATAATAATAAATTCAAAGAACTGTTCATATAGTTGTAATTAAAGTTAACATAAAACTTATTCTGTACATTTAAAATTTTGGGCATTATTTTCGGAAGAAGCAAGACAAAAAAACAATATTCAAATGATTTTATTACCGTCACCTTGTACGCTACGTCGTGCAAACATGAACACAAACGTCCTTGTGTCTTCGATTTCAGCACCAATGCTCGGTCCTATTCGATTACCCAGAAATAATAAACGGTTAATTAGAGTGTTTATGTGCGCGTGCGATCTCCTGAGAGAACACGTGACAACTGTCAAAAACACTTTCGTCCGTTTGTGAGAATCGTAAATTTTATACAGGGGTTGCCAAAGATCGACAAAAAAGAGAGATCTCTCCCTTTTCCGTATCATCCCGTGCAGAATAATTATACCGGAGCGCTAACCTACCATTAAACCGTTCCAGAGGTTTATAGCCATGTTATTACCAAATCTACACAAAATAAACATATTTCCATGGCAGACGCTGTGGCCATCGCTTCACTTTTGTTTCAACCTATCGATCATTATAAAAATATAAAAAACAGGCGATGTGCGCGATTGGACTGAAGGTTGCGTTGAAGTTATGATTGAATGATGATCAGTCATTATGGCCACTCGCAAGGCCCTATTATAGCTGAAGAATTCCGAAGCTATGCTGATGCGCTCTGCCATATTATAATATTCTTCTTTTTGAATTGTTCAGCTCAGTTAGCGGAAGACAACCAAATCAAAGAGGTTTCATTTTTACTGACTGATGACGAGAGGAAGAGAGAAAATGCCACGCGTTGAATGGACCAGAAAGAGAAGCCAACGAAAACAACTCTCTTGAGATAATTTATGGTTGTTGTTGATAAATATTGTAAAATCTGCTAAAAATCGTTATAATTTATGGTTTACTTTAATTTTTTGTTTGCACCAGAAGGGTCTGATGCTAAATCCCGAGACAGTTTGACTGACAGATGTATCTCTTTCATCACTGTGAGGCTAGTGGTTTATGATATTCTAGTCAAATTCAATGAAAAAAGTCGTATTCTAGCGTGATCGTGTGAAAATGATAACTTAGATGATTACAATTCAATCCTACACCGGAGGAAACTTGATTTGTTTTCCGTCGATCTTGTTTTCCGTGCTGAGCACCAATGCTACCGACACCAGGGAGGCAGCTACCACACCCTACCTATCGACCCATAAACTCAAGGACCGGGGACCAAAAGCTATACTTCCCTTCCGAAGGAAGGCGTGATCAGAGATGTTATGCCTCAGAGGCAATCACGCTTACCACTACACCATTGGCGCCGCTAGGAGGAAACTACGTTATTGATTATAATTAATGGCGAAAACGGATGAAAAGAACTAAGAAGAGCTAGTCTAAGAAACACA